ACACCAAGGACATCTGCTGAATTATATGATACATTAATTATTTTTCTTGATAAATCAAAGACTTCTAACTTTATTTTATTTGATGCACAAGTACAAAAGTATAGTATTCTAAAATGAATACATACAACATATATTATTATTGATGTAATTAAATTAAAATCAAATGTACATAAATTATTATGTTATCAGTAAGTAATTCTCTCATTATACAAATTGGGGTGCTTTCTATTCAAGATTGAAATTTTTTTTAAATAGGATTGTAATAACCCATAATCAGCGTACTTTATAACCAATAAATATTTGGCAAAAATCCATAAAAATTAGATGATATTTGCATGATAATCAACTTCACATTGCATTTTTAACTATATTAAAATACAGTATAAAATTATTAGTAGTATATACATTAGAGACCTGTAAACGGGATCTAGAATCTGGAAACCTGGACCTAGTCTAGGTTTGGGTTGCCAAATTTTCTTTCAAAATTCGCCTGGACTAAGTCAGACTGGCATATGATTTTTTGTTAAACCTGAATTTTCGTAATTCTTGCCAAGATCACCTTAATTCTAGCCGAAATTAAACTGACCAAAATTAAGTTAGCTAATTTTTTTTAGAAGTTTAAAAAAAAGTTTGAAAAAGTTTTTACAAATTGATATAATAATAGTCCAGACTGGGCCAAGTACTTCAAGTTAATTTTCAAGTGCGAACCAGGTCAGGTTGTAAATGTAAAATAGAGATCAATACAGACCTTTAATATACATATAATATTGCAAATATTTTACCTTATTAACAATTATCATTAATAGATAAATTAAATGGATATAACAGTATCATCATGATTTGTACAAATAGCATTTCCAAAAGATCTATTAGTCCAGACTTAGTATGTGATGAAGTTGTGCTTTATAGGCTACATATGATTGGACATGCTTCTGAAAAAGTTACAGATCTGGGAGTGCATAAATAAAACTTTTCCTGGATGGTTTAGTTCATATATTTTTCAAACATCTGTAACATTTATAACAGTCTGATTATTTCCCCTTATTCCTTTTCTTTCCTCGTTTTCTCTGTTTCTTGGTATATTTTTATATTACAGATGTTATTACGAATCATTATTGATAGGGAGGTTATTATGATTTTTGGCATCTTTGAGAGGTAAAGAGCCATAGCATGGTCCTGGCCATAATGGGCAGAGCCCATACCCTGCTGACAACTCCAATTTCAAATCCCATATCTAAATTAGTTTCAAATTCTGATCTCAAATCTGACTTATGAATATCACGACTTTACTAATAAAATCTGGTATATCCCGATTGTTTTAATATGGCATATTTGGTTCTGGGAGAAAAATTCAAAATAACAACAAATCTGGTTTATCAAGATCTGATTTATCACGATCGCCTATGTAAATAAGTAATAATAGAATTAAATAAATAACTTACTCCCTATATTGTTAAATAATTTTTTAAATAGAGAATTCTGTTAGTTTAAATTATATAAATAATAAAAATATAGATATCATATAACTTACACCCTGTAGTATTATTAATTATTAATTAGTTAGATATAAATATATAAATACAAAAGTATTTACTGTAAGTTATATATATTACTTACAATCTAGTTATTTTAAATTAATAATATAATTAGTTAAATTATATAAAGTATTAAACAAATAAATATAATATATATATTGTAACTTACCATCTGTAATATGATTAATTATTAAACAGTTGTTTAAATAAAGAATTTAGTTATTTAAATGTTATGCAAAAGGATTTAAATAACTAATAGCTTACCAACTATAGTATTATTATTAATTATTAAATAAATTATTTAATTATATGGAATACAATGAAAATGATGAGTAATTTCATTATTATTTAATTATGAGATAGCCTATTATTGACTTACAAGCTAAATATTTAATATAATATAGTTAGTATAAATTATTTGCATATTATATAAGATATAATTATAGATAGTATTTGAATTGTTTATAAATAAAAATTCAATATTTCAGCTTGTTTGATACACCAGGTTCACTTTCTTCATCAGGTTCTTTGACATTACATAAAACTAGTTTTCTTATATTGCAAATTTGTTTTAAAATTTTGAATAATTCCAATTTACATTATGTATTCATACTATATGCTTTACCTTTACCAATATATTGACCCATTATTATGCAAAAATTCTTTCTAATTGGAAGATAAAGTAAAATATAGTCTGAATGAATATGGTAATAATATTTATGTAAAATGTATTACGTTGATCACAAACATTCATACATGTACGACAAACAAATTTACACATCCAGAATTTCATAAATGTGACAATCATCCAACCGTAGTAAAAATCATAAATCAGATAAAATTTTCTTAATACATGATAAATAAACTTCTAAACGTTTTGTTACTTTACAAGTTACTTAAAGTGGCAAAGATAATTGTAAATATCGTTAAATAATCTGCGTAATACATATGATTACATGCGGATTTTATTATATTATTACTTACAGTATATATAATTTAAAATCACAGAACCACATATCTATTTTTCGCATGGAACATTTACCTTAAAGAGAAAAAAAAAGAAAAAAATAAATAATTTTTTTCTTAAAATACATAAAATCATTTTATTAATTTTATAACAGGCACATTTAAAAATAACTCTTTTACACTAGAGCTCTGAATCTGACCTGGCGGATTGGTGACCTGATAGGGTTGTTCGGGTCGGGTCAGATCATCAAATTTATGACCTAATCTCAGTGTCAGCCGGGTATCTGACCCAATCTGTTGACCCAACATACATTTGGATCAAGAAAGCGTGGCGTTTCCTTTTATGTTCAAGTAAGCATTTAATAGCTTGGAAATGTTAAATTTAATAATCCGCTGGTCTGATGCTGAAAATATAATTCAAAAAAAAAGATTATATGCACATGCTCAAACCAATTTATGCTTACGGATTTCTTCGCTTTTTTTCCAATTCTGTGTATCAGGCAATTTCCTAGATTTATTGACAGTTTAACAGATGTTCCAATTTTATTCAACAATATGAGTTCTCAAACATTGACTTTGAGTCATAAATGACATGGTTAATTCACTAAATTTACCATATGCTCCATAGAATAAGAGAAAATCTCTCTTTGTACTAAACGTGTGTGGTAAGATCGGTAAAATAGTATACAATATATAAAGTTGTAGTTGCATTAAATCAGAAGTCATAACTTACATTTAGAGCCCCTATAAAAATTTTATCCGTTATTTCTGTAAAAACTCCGTAAAAATGAGCCCTTTCACGGATCCATTCACGGAAAATGTAAATAATTCGATAAATTCCGTAATACAGTATTAATTATATTATAATTGATCCAGTTTGTAAAGATTTATATTATCCCAATCGGATCCGACGTTTGTCCGCGCGCGTGTGGGATTTGAGACATATAATGGCAATGGAAAAAATTTGTAGGGTTAAAAATGATCATATTTCAAGATTACACAAATTTTATTAAAAAAGGTAAATGAAATACATGAAAATGAAAACATTTTATTAATTAATATGATAATATAATAAGAACCCAAAAAAAAAGAAAATAGCCTATTTATGTTATGGCTTATAATAATAAACCCAAAAAGCAGCTTCTGTTAGACCATTACTCGTGCTCTTGTACAAAGTCTGCGAATCAATTTAATTTTCAATTAACGTACAATTGATATCGATTTTTGAGATATCGTAATTATTTGCTAGTATTGTCTAAAAATATTTATCTATATATTCGTCGTAAGGTCATTCTTTACAAGCGGTTGTTACACGATACTTTATAAACATCTGCAGAAGGGCTCAAAATCATTAAAAAAAAAATAAAAATAAAAATAAATAAAATAAAAAAAAGAGAAAATCAAATACCTGATCTGATATAACAATAATTAAAAATTATTATGCGAAATTCTAATTTTAATTAAGATTTTTATCTTTTAAATTCCGTGTAATTGGATTGGTCCCACACTTCCTCCCACATTATGAATTTCTCTCCATTTGAATTATTTGAGATTATTTGGTTAAGAAATTAGATGTACAAAAATAATCTTATTCTACTTTTGGGAAGTATGCGAACAGCCCACAAAACGTGATAAAATTTTTAGACATGTGCTGAAAAAGATGGAAAGCATGGTCATCTCTTTTTGAACTGATGGTAAACTTTAAATGTTGGCTTTTATTTCTTCATTCGGTATATATTAAATGCTTAGTTAAATGTTTTATACTTATCTCACCTAAACTGGTTTATTCAAGAAGGATGAGCCCTGCAAAAAGAAATTAACTAAATTTGTTAAAATATAAATCATACGATCATTGCACCATAAATTTTAAAAATGATTGGTTTGGTCATAGTGAAAATCACATGATTGTGGGTAATATTTACTTTACAACCATGTGAATTGGAGGCTGATTAAACAATCCCGCAATTATTATAAATGATCGTCATTTGCGGATTTTCTATATAACCTTCCCATTACGGAAATTCTTTTCGGCTGTTACAAGGGTTACCAGGATTCCGTGATCACATGATCACAAAATTTCGGGATTGAAAATTTCCCTTCCTCACATTTCACACTTAAATTAAATTTATTGATCATTTATGATAGTATAAAAAAAAAATAATTAAGACAGAAAACGACCGATATATAAATCAAGGGCGACGACAAAAACGAAAATACAACGGCATGTAGCAATCGCTCTAAACTAGAGTGATAAAACATATAATTTAAAGTTGGACGCGTGGAACCGTCCCGCCAGATAAACAACCCTCGAACTTTCTAGGAATGGTTGACTCGTGACTTGGTTCAAGTTGACTCTATAATTTATTATTAAATTTTGCAAAAAATTGATTAATTTAAATAAAAAAATTCCATTTATTATAAATATATTTAATACATACAAATTTTATATACGTTACATACAAATTTTACATTGTTGTTTTCATTTTAATAATAAATTAACTAATAAATTCCTATAAAATCACAATAATAAATAGCTAACTTATCATAATTTTGAATTTCAATATTATATAATTTAAATTCTTTTACTTCATCTTTTAAAGAAAATAAATCTTTATTTTTAACTTCAACAGCCAAATATTTAACTCTTTTCTTTTCCATAATATATTTCTTTATATAAGGTAAAATATCTTCATCTTGCATTTCATTTCTAATAGATAATTTTTTAATAAAAATATTATTAGAATTTTTTAAAAATAATTCAAAATCCTTATTATTAAACATAAGATATAAATTTAAGTATTCTAATTTAAAAGGAAGCATTTGTCCTAAATTTTGTAAAACAATTGAACTAAATTCAATATCAACACTTTCAATAGAAAGATAATTAAGAGTATTTTCAATATTTTTAATTAAATTGAATGCTGTAGTAATATTATCATGACAATTATCAAGATCAAATAAATCAAAATATTTAATTTTAGGACAATATTTCATAATTAACTTAAATAATTGATTTGATTCACTTCCAGAACCAAAATTTTCTAAATAACCACCAGATTTTTGTAACAAAGATTCTATTGGTTCAATTTGTAAATTACCACTTATAAATAAAGATTTCAATTTGAATGGTTTAGTGACATTAATAATTTTTTCAACAAAATCAGAATCTAAAGAACAATAAATGATATGAATAGATTCCAAAACATTTAATTGTTCAAACACTTCAATTAAAATATTAGTTATATCTTTAAAATTAATATGATGAAAAATGATGGTATTTAAAGTATTTGAACAGTTTGAATTTTTTAATGATAATAATGAATGATACAAGGGAAAATTAATACATCCTTCAAATGAAATTTTTCTTAAATTTTTTTGTGAATTAATTATTTTTGGTAAATGTTCTTCACTTAATAAAGTAATACCTGTCTCTTATACACATCTAGATGTGTATAAGAGACAGGAAAAATGATGGTATTTAAAGTATTTGAACAGTTTGAATTTTTTAATGATAATAATGAATGATACAAGGGAAAATTAATACATCCTTCAAATGAAATTTTTCTTAAATTTTTTTGTGAATTAATTATTTTTGGTAAATGTTCTTCACTTAATAAAGTAATACCAACATCAGAATTATTATTATTATAAAAGAATAATTTGATATTAATATTAAGTGAAGAAATTGAATTACAATTTGAATGTAAAAATTTTAAAAAAGGATAAAATTTTGTTATTTTTGCAACATTTTCATCAAAACAAAGTTTAAAATTTTTAATATTACAAATAAAATAAGGATTTTGTTGGATTAATTCAAAAGAAAGGTCAAAATAATTACAACATTCATTATTTAATATTACTTCAAAAGTATGTAAATTTACTTCATTATTAATAAATATTTTAAATAAATTTGGGTTAATATATTGTGAAGATAATAAATATCTTTGTTTATCAGTTAAATTTTTAATATTTGCAACCCATTTTTTAATTGACCAAAGAAATTTCTGAATATTTAAACATTTAATAAAACTAGGATAATTAAATAATGTATTTGAAGGGAATAAATTATTATTAATTCCATATTCGTTGTTTAATTTTGTTTTATTATCTTCAGTTAAATTATGTAAGAAAAGATTAATAAAATCATTATGTCTAGTAGGATTTGAAAATGGATTTTCCCATAATAATCGTATTGCTAAACGACACCATAATCTGTTAACTAAAATACATGTATATAATGTTGAAAAATCATTTCGAAAATATTGTATAATTTCAGTTGTTAATTCAGGTAAATCTCCTGAAAATATTTTTGAACATGTCATATTGTAAGCAAAAAAAATAAAAAGGATGATTTTTTTTTTTTAAAAAAAAAAAATTGTCAAAATAAAGTTTAATTTTCGGAGTAAACGTTCCGATTGGTATTTCATACATGTCATACACAATTTATTGTCGATCATTTGTGATATCATAGTATATCCGATCATGTTTTGTATGGCTGGACTAACTATGGCGGGTGCATGGATTGACAAAATGTTACACCGCCTGACATTTTACCTATTCATGCTTGATATTTGTGTTTGATATTTATCTGTATGTGCTTAAATTTCGTTAGAAAATTCTTTTAACAAGTGAGATTTTTTTTGATAGAGAATTTCATTAAGAATTTTTTTTAATAGGAGGGAGTTTTCCTTGATAAAGAATTTCTTTTGGGAATTTTTTTTAATAGGTGAAAGTATTTTTTGACAGAGAATTTATTAAGATATTTTTTTTTTTTGATTGAAAATTTCATTAGAGAATTATTTGTTGAAAAAAAATTTATTTTTTTGATGGAGAATTTTGTTTAGAAATCTTAATACAGTAATAGATAATTTTATTGAAAATAATAAGTGTATCGAGATTTTTGGCTTGAAATTTTTTTTTTTAATAAAGAATTTAAAGAATTTCATTAGAGATCTTTTTTTTTATAAAATTAAAAAATATTAAATTACATTAATAAGGGCAATGACATATATTAGCTAATATTTTAGGGGGTGGGGGAGTAAAAGAAAATCTTAGGTTACACATAATATAAACCATGTGAAATGGTTGTGATTGGTCATAAAATCTTACCTGGGGGTGGGGGAGTAAACGTTACTATTAAAATAATATTAGCTAATATATGTCACTGCCTAAAAAAACCATGATAGAATCCTAAATAGCATAGTAAATTAAGCAAATTTTATATACTAGTAAAGCTCCGCATGAGCCGAGCCGGCTTGCAAGCTGAGCCATACTTAATAAATTGGCTTGATGCTTGACAAGCCAGCTTGAAAAAGCTCGAGCTGGCTCGCCTACAAAGTTATAAAAATAAAAATTAATCATTAGTATTTTTTTTTTGTTTTATTTGTTTCATTTTAATAATTTCTGATTTTTAGTAGAATTTATTTTTATGGTATTTTTTTTAAAAAAATTTATCTTACTTTATTTAATAATTTTCTTTAGTTTGGTATTTTTTGATTCCATTTTTAACTTTTTTTTTTAGCATTTTTTTTTTAATTTAATATTTTTTATTTCATAAAAATTTTTTTACAAATTTCTTATTATATAATCATATAATATTCATATATAACATAAATAAATTAAAAAGTTTTTAAAATAATGTTAACTTTAAAAAAAGTATATACCAGAAATTTGTTTGAAATGTTTTTTCTTTTTATCATTAATAATATTAAATAATTGGCATAAAAACATTTTCTGAAAATCTACTATTTTGATTGGTTATTATTGCAAAAGATATTTTTTAAAAAAAATTTTTTGCAAACATATTTATTCAAAATAATCTTATTTAATGAAATTTTATTTGCAAATATTAAATTCAAGTCACACATTTACGATTTTAAAGAAAAAAAATCGCCATATTTATTTTTATCAAAGTGTACAAATCAAAGAAACAATAACAATAAATAAAAAGATAAGTAAATTACAATGATCAAGGAGAAAGATGCTACTAAAAAAATGAAATAACAATGGAGTAATGGAAAGTAATAGAAGATGAAAGGGAGTAAAAAAGAGTAATGAGAAGTGATAGGAAACAAAAAGGAGAAATAGGACATGATGTGTAGTACCAAAAATAAAAATGCACAGTCGACAATTATTCCTATGGATTTTTCCGATAATATTATGAAAGAAATAGACGCGTTGAATATTTCACATACCTCGGATATTAAATAACGAATGGATTATTTAAATTTTTCTAATAATTTAATTAAAAACTAAACGAACAATTAGAGATGAAAAGGAGTGATGGGTGATGAAGAGGAGTGATGGGAGACAAAATGGAGTGATGGGCGATGAAAAGGAGTGATAGGAGACGAAAAGGAGCGATGGGAGATGAAAAGGAGCGATTGGAGATGAAAAAGAGCGATGGGAGACGAAAAGGAGTAATGAGAGACGAAAAGAAGTGATGGGAGATGAAAGGAGCGATGGGAGATGAAAAGAAGTGATGGGAAGATGAAGAGGAGTAAAAATTTATTAAGATTGTAAAATTTAATAAAAAATTTTCCAATAAATTTTCAATCAATTTTTTATAAAAAAAAGATCTCTAATGAAATTCTTTATTAAAAAAATAAATTTCAAGCCAAAATTCTTGATACACTTATTATTTTTCTATTAAGATTTCTAAACAAAATTCTCCATCAAAAAAATAAAAAAATTTGCAACCAACAATTCTCTAATGAAATTCCCAACCAAAAAAAATATTCCCAATTAAGAAAAATTTCTAACAAAAATCTTCCATCAAAAAAACACATTTTCCCTATTAAAAAAAAAATTCAAAGATTCTTACCTATTAAAAAAAATTCTCAAAAGAATTTCAAACAAAAAAAGCCTTTGCCTATATTAAAAATAAAAATTCTCTACAAAAATTGTTTTATAAAAAAAAAGCCAATAAAATAAAAAAAAAATTCTTCGTGTAGAAACTATGCTAAACTTAATCACCCCTGTGCTGACAAAGAAACTAATTTTTGACAAGATAAAATTAAAATCAAATACAGTTGGACGAAAACATCAAGTACAGATAGATAAAACATCAAGCACGAACAGATAACAAGCACATGATAGATAAACATCAAGCATGAACAGATAAAAATATCAAGCACAGGACAGATGAAAATCAAGCATAAACAGGTAAAATGTCAGACACAGGGTGAGATGACTAATATTAGTAATATACTATACATATATACTGTAAATCATAATCTTAGCATTATCTATTATACATAAAACTTTGGTTTAAATAAACAATTCTTAACTGCCAAATATTTTTAATTCTTAATTGTTATTTATCTTTAATTGGATTTACTTAAATTATAAAACTAGGGAACGGTAACCATTGGAAATCCGGAGTGAAAAGCGAAATTGTTAACCTTAATTAAACACAGGTAATTCGAATAAAAAAAATATAGACCAATCCTCATACCAGTTTTCATATGATAAATGATTTTTATATTAAATTTAAAGCTAAAAAAATTTTTTTATTTGCAAAAAAAAAGAAAAAAGACCGATCATATATAAAAAAAAAATATCAAATAAACAATTTTTGTTCTATTTTTATCACATGTAACCGAAAGAATCAATACGAATGGATGGCCATCAACTCATACAGTGAGTGGGCGACATTTGTGAAACTGACACAAATAGTATATAGTCCTTTGCTTTGCTCTGGACTAATTATAAACGTTATTTATTTTGGAAATATTGCTATACAGTCAAATCTCTATATACTGATATAGATGTTTTTGGAAAAAATATCAGTATATCAAAATATCGGTACATTATGAAAATTTATATACCAATATTAATAATAAAATGTAGATTAATATTGGTATATAAAATTTTGTATAGAATTACAATGTATTTTAAATTATTTAATAAAGTAATTTCATTTAAGTCAAATTTTAATAAAATACTTTGAAAAAATATCGATATATTATTTATATTTATTATATTAACATATTAGTGTATATAATATAAAAACTATATTAAATCCTTTTGTATTTTTTCTTCAAGTTTTTCCTATCTTTACAGAATATTAGAAAACCATTTCTTTCATTCCAAGTTATTATATTTTCTTTTTTAACTTTTTCATCTTCATCAAATAATTTCATATGAATATATTTCTTATTTATCAATAAATTTCTATATATCCCCTACTGCAACATTTTAAACTATATTGTGTAATAATTTTAATAATTTTCTATAATCTTCTACTATACTATCTAATATTTTTCTAAATTATCTTTACAATCTGACATAAAATTTTTAATTTTTTATTAGCGATTAAATTTGTAATGAACAATACAAATATACGAAATTTTATAATAATAGTTGCGGGTACCTGATTAAGCTAACGAATACTAACCAACTAGTTTCTATATAAGTTTTAACCTGAATTTGAGACCTACTATAGTAACATACACTTAAGACGTTCTATCAACCTCGCTCTAAAAACCTGACTTCTAGGATAAAATTAATTTTTTACTTTACCCCCTTAATGCCCCTAAACTTCATTCAACTACTAACCCCTTAAAAATAAAACAATAAAGAGCAGAGAGCATAATTAACTAAAACTATAAAACCCTGCATATTCGTACCAAAATAAATATTCAATCATAAACTTTCCAAACTATTAAAAAGGTTAAAAATATTAACTTTCCTATTAGGATCTATATATTCTTCTTTATAATTTTCTTTAACTTTTTTAAGAATAATTTTTAATCTTTTTTCCTTTTCTTTTTGTTTCAAACATCTATCAATCCAAAAGCCCCAACTCTTTTCAAAAATAAAATTCCTTAACAAAACCAGAAATTTTTCTTGTACATTTTGATTTTCAAAAATCAATGATGTATATGCTACCAATTCACAAGGAATTATTCCCTTAATTAATTCATCTATAAAGGTAAGTTTTGATTCACCGACTATAAGCCCAATCCCAAAAGGTCATTTTATTAATAAGTTTATTGTCAATAATAGGATCTTTATCTGCATTAATCAATAAAGAGTTACAAGCTCCTTCAAAAAATTCTTTTGTTTTCTGAATAATATTATTCATTTCAATAGCATGTGAGTCAAAAATCCACACATGATCGAAAGTTTCATCATATCGTTCACAAATCTGACATAAAATTTGTGTCAACCATGTAGGATAATCCAGTGTTACCACCAGTTTTCGTTGGGCGTCAGGTGATAACAGAAATTATCCCCTGATCGGCACCATTTATACAGTTATCCGATTGTACTTATACCTACTGGATGATCAATTTATATATATTTATTTATGCGTTTCTAGTACATATTTACTCTAGATAACTAGACAAATTATTTAT